AGTGAGGGGTGGGAGTGTCTGCCCGTAGAGGTTTTGGTGTGTGGTCGGGTGAGGGGGGGAGGAGTTAGTGGGGAGTGGGAGTGTCTGCCCGCAGAGGTTTGGGTGTGCGGTTGGGTGAAGGTAAATTTGGGTGTATGATGCTTAGGTGAAGGTAAATAGTCGAGCATGTAGGCAGGTGTTTGCAGGACTATGTGTGTCTGTGTGTAAGCTTGTGGGTTTCCGCAGTACTATGCTTGGCTGTCTGTAAGCTTGTGTAGAGGGTTTTCTGTGTCTGTGCACACGATATGTGTGTGCCCCGTCATACAGGTTCGCTAATTTGCCCGAGAGGGCATGTGTGTTAATTATTATCTGTAATGTGAATAAGGTTCTTGTTTCTTTTCCCAGGAACAGGTGCCTATGGTCCTGACTCCTTGCCCATTCTGGGGAGGAGCGTCAGTACCCTCCCAATCCACCGGCATGTTGAATGAATACTTGCTAAAAGACATAATAAATGTAGCACAGCCACTCTCTGCTTCCTCCGGTTTGAGTTCTTAAGGCAAGATCCCACTGACAAAGAGGATTGTAGTAAGTGTCTGAATGTCAACGTGTTTGTCGACAGGTGCAAAACTTTGTGATTGGTCTACTTTTCTGCATCTGTGTGGAACACGTCCAGATTCAGACTCTCATTCCAATCCTCTTTCCCACTGGGATCTGGCCTTTAGTAACTTGGAGGGAAAAGCACGCGGGGAAGACAGCATGTGAGAGGTGAATGGAAGAGGCAGAAGGAAAGAACAAATCCTGGTTTGCCCAGGCCTTGTGTAGGAATGTGACACCCGGTGGATGTTCTATTGTTCATTTAAAACGCCCGGGGATTCTATTCCGTAAATTGATTGTACGAGGGCTGAACAGAATTTTCAAAGATCATAACAATATGGAAAAACAATATGTTGTGTAGATTTGCAATAGGAACAACTTTCTTCTCCCCCCCCCCCCGCGCCCCCCATCACCATCAACGGGCGCAGTGCATATGATGCTCAACCTCACGCCCTGCGCTACCTTCCGGTCGGAGCATGTGGTTCGCTGAAGGGGCCTGGGAAAGGCAGCGATGGTGGGGTCTGCCAAGGATTTTTGGAAAATTGAGTCCGGGGACACAGACGGGACTGAAATCCCCTGTGTTGGACCGACTATAGTAAGAAGAAGGTCCGTAGCCGTGCAGGTTTTAAGGGAGAAAAAGGCGCGCGCGGGACTTGCAGCTATGGGAAATTCAATCCAAAAAATATCGTTGGACTTCCCAACGAGCCGTCGCTCTTTGTTTCGCGTGAAAGGGGGCGGGTACACATGTGGTATCACGCTTTCGGATGAGGTCGCGTCGGCACTCGTTACACAACTCTGAATCCGACGTGGAGGGCCTCAACCGAATTGCCTACTCTTTATGTTCGTCCTCGCCGCGTGTGCGATAGTGGAACCCTTTGGCCTGATAACGCTCGAGGCGATGACAATCACTACACAGAGTGTTAGGCCAATGAGGCTCCACTGCCGCCCACGGGACGACGATCAGTTTGTTAAAGGGCAACAGCAACGAATATGGCGCAAAGTGCGTATCGATGATAACAAAACCCGCACCAACGAATCCAGAGCACCGAGTTTCGGGAGGAAAGTGGTAACGCCCTCCGATCTTGGCGACGGCTTCTCGTATGTCCCACTCGCATACACGTGTCCTTTCCTCGTTGTACGGGAAGGGGCGCAGCGGGGGCACGGGAAATCGGCGCCCGGCCGGGTTGGGGCCATCAGTCCACATGGCAACAAAGGTAAGCACAGGTCTTTATCATACATCGTTCCTTTGACAATCCAGGCAACCCGATCATTCAGTCACTCAGCCAATCATCCTTGCAATCATGCTACAACAAAATCTCTAATCACGGCTCACTGCATGTACGTACCGAAGTGAGAGAAGCAAAGTTGGCATAATTCATCCAGCCTGACATGTCGCGACCAGAGGAACGAGAGTATGGACGCAGACCAGGAGGGAGAAACGAGTAGAAAGCAACCACAAAATGTCAGGGGATCTTACCCAGAGATGTCCTAGCTTAAAAGTCGAGCGATCAAAACTCACATTCGAAGATACAAACTTTAGAGCAGAAAGGAGAGAAACCACTGCTGTCATAAAATTCCACCATGGCCTTGGGCCATGCACTCACTCACTTCCGACTCGAACATCTCACTTGCACTGACGATCCCGGCCGTCACGTGCCAATCCACCATAGCGATCGTCACCCCGCCAACTTAGCCTCTGCGCGGCCCTGCTCGGATCCCACAGTCCGTTGAGCAATCCAACATGCCGAGCGCCAAGACTACGGCCCGCTCGTCGGGACTTTTCGACTCGCACCTTCCTTCATACAATCTAGCCACGGCTTCTTGGAAGCGGGCTGATGAGTCGAAAGAGTGAGTTTCGGGAGTGCTTGCGAAATTTATAGCTGCGGAAGAAAGGATAGATGCTAGGAAGGGTTAGAACGGAGACAGGGAGGAGTAGGAAAGGACTCAGCGGTTGCCCGTTGAAAGCCATGTCGATCCTTTGGATCCCAGCTGCAGCCAATCAGAATCGTCGTGTATCAGGAATTTTCCTCTTACACGGCGTGTCTCTTTGGCTAGAGGGAGTGATAGGGGGTCAACCTGGTGTTTCGGTGCGGGAGATCAGAGCGGGAAGAAGAAGAGCGCGAAGAATAGCGCGGAACGGAACCAAGATTCAGACGATCAAGGAGAGAAAAGGTGTGCAAGGCGATGGGGAGATGGAAAACGGTTACAGAGAGAGGAGGAACATGAGCGCGAGGAAGGGAGTGTCAAGGGCAGCGGGGGAAGCGGGGAGGGGAGGCTTGCATGCATGGCGCTGTCGCAAAGGCAAAAAGGGCACCGAGCATGGCGCTGTCGCATGCATGTCGCAAAGACTAATACCATATCCGCGCGGCAAAGCGGGCGCGTGGGAAAGTCCTATGCCTATTCAGATTTCTGCGAAAATTCCCAGAGGTTTCCAAGACGACGTTGCGAATATCCATGCACAAGAAAGGACACGCCGGATCCCGCTTATTCCGAAATTCCTAACCGTCGGTCCAAATTCCTAGCGCGGTCGCTAAGGCACGCGTAATTCCCATGTACTTCCCAATTTGCAAAAAACGACAAATTTTCAAAAATTGATTCGAGGGCCTCACATATTACATTCATGAAAATACAAAAAAAGAGGCCTCGTCGGATGGTCACCCAAAATTCGAGAAAAAGACAGAAACAGAGGGAGGGGGGGGGAAAGATAGCGCAGGTCTGGAAGTTGGCACGTCACATGCATAGCAAAGAACGTGCCAGGGGTCTACAGGTCTCCAGCCCCCAACTCATGCAGAGCCCTACCTCTGCAGTGAAGCGCGGATGAGGTTGTGGCAACTACACCACAGCGATTGATGTACGTATCATTAACCAAAAAACTTGAAGAGGTAATCTCTGCTGCAACCGTATCAGTCACACCAAGTGCCTATAGCACAAGATGCCCAATGTTTTCTGGACCAGTCAACTACTGCACGCATTGACTTAGGGCTAAAGACCTTTGTTTGCCTATATTGGAGAATTACTCAGCTAATTGCTTTTTTAACACTCTGTACCGACAACAACAAAGAAGGAGACATGGCAGAAGAAATCTTTTTGTGCCTCAGTATCCGAAAACATATGTCCTGTTCTTTGGGAGAAGGATGGCCAGGGAACCCTAAAGAATGCCATCACCATCCCACAGGTGTCGTCTATTGATCAGAAAGGGAGAGTATTCCGTCCACCGCTGGCAAGAGGCCGTTGAATGTGAACATGTCACAAAAAGATGCTGCAGCTTTTCGCCCGAGTAGGGCACAACATATCAAGAAAAAACAGGGTCCCCTTCTGCGAACGATGATACATTTCCGCTGGCGCGAGGACATATCTGTGCACTACCAAACACAAAAGACCTGCATACTTAGGCACAGGCAGCGAAGACTGTAATCATCAGAAAGAGGAAACAGTCGTGAGATGTGAAAACAACGAGCGTACCGTATTTCATCGGTAAATGTTGGTCAAGTATATCACACCCCTTCAGAATTTCTTACTAGTGGTTGGGATTGCAAGTCTGGAGAGTAAATAACAGAACACAAGTAAATCCCACCCCTTTACCCCCCTTTTAATCATCATGTACAGCCCCCAAGTTTCTTTGTACCTAAATTGTGCATGTTGTTGTCATGGTTTTCCTATATCTACGATCAGAGTCGTCAGAGCCCCTCATGACGTGACTGATTTAGCAGTTGGCAGGGTCGATTCCTGTTGCCAGCTTGCCATTGAGAGCATCTATACCTCCACTTGTGTTTTTCACATGAAAGAAGAAAAAGAACCCCGGCCTCTTACCAGAGTCATTGTTCGCTGGAAAAAAGACAAAATTTCAAAAAAGAGCATTCTTGTTCTTTTGATCCACCCAGCAATGCTGACATGAACTTTTTGGCAGTTTTTTGTTCAAATATTTGTTTCAAAGAACACACAATGCAGAAAACAAACGATCATAGGGCTTTGTCCCAGGAAGGTAGAATAAGAGTTGGACCCCACAGGAATGCGGAAAGGAAGAATGTTTCCACGAAACTGTTTCCGGGACCCCACAGGCAGCGGAGGACATTCTGGCGAAAGCGAAATGTCTTCCAAATACTGGTTTCCAGAACCCCACAACCTGCTATTAATGGCGTGGAAGAACGCATATGGCCGTTTTCACATCGTCCGCGGCGTGGAAAAGTGGCTCCGGAGGACATCTCGCCGCAATTTTGTGCTGAAAGTTGAGAGTGGGGGAGGGAGTGGCGGGGTACTTTCCAAGGTCGCGCCCACCAATTGGCCCCTTGGCCTACCCCGGTCCTGGAGCAGTGAGCAGGCAGGGCGTGCGTTGCAGGTCGTAACCGGGCCCGGGGCTGTTGGTCCCTTGGAGACGGGATGGAAATGGGCGGGTGGGGGCCCGCCATTTCGAATTCAAAGTCAAATTCGAATGGGGGTGCACGAGGTGTTGTCGCCACCAGTCGACCGATGCATGGCCATATGCTATTGCACCCAGCATGCGGCATCTGTGGGTTTATCGTGGCATGGAGTCGTCGATCGACAGTGTGCTCGTGCGCTTCCCATGCACGTCGTCCGCCACCTTCGTTGCCGCGCTGTGCCATGGGCGTCGGTTAGCCGACGTGTGCATGGTCTTGCGGGTGACTTCATGCGTGGTAGGTACATCTCCGATGCGCAACTGCTGTGGGGACGTGGTCGGTGTGTTGGAGTACCACTTCATAATTCCATCTCCTCCATCCGCCGAACATTGTCCCTCCACGCGCCATCCCTTGGTGCAGTGGAAGTTGGGAGTGTTGTGCGTGCTGTTCGTCCGAACATCACGAGTAGAAGCTTCCTGCCCCAAGGGAACAACATCACGCATGCAGTTCAACGTTGTGGCGGTCGAGTGCGGATCGTGGAGGAACGGTTGAGAGACCGGGATGTGGCTGTTGCGGGGACGGGTTATGCACGGCCGTACATCGCACACCCACCATGGTCAACTGCTGCGCAAGATGGTGTTTTGGGAGGTGGCAGGGCTTGTTCGTGTCAGTACCTGCAAGATTCAACCGGCACGATGGTGATCATCATCGACGTCGGCAACTGTGAGGAGGGGGGGGGGGGGGGGTCGCACATGTTCCACTGGGGATTGTTTATGATTGTATCCGTTTTTGTTGTGTTTGNGGGGGGGGGGGGGTTCGCACATGTTCCACTGGGGATTGTTTATGATTGTATCCGTTTTTGTTGTGTTTGCCGTTGTTGTTCTCCTTTGTTTGGGTGTTGTAGCGGTAGCTCTCCTCAGTAATGAAAGACCAAAGGTGACCACAAAATGACTTGTCACTGTAAAACTAAGGAATTATGACAATAAGATTATAAAAAAACAAAAAAGTCGGTAGCACTGATATTTGTTTGCACTATCGATATCTAGGGACACGTGCGTAGCCATGGAAGGACGTAGTTTCACTGCAGTGATTTGTGGGGGTCGTGTCACGTGGGGGTTGACGCGAGTGATTGCACACAACCACGCAGCGAGTCAGTGCAATCGACGCCTTCATGGTGGTACGTGCTGCAGCTCGGTGTCGGCAAAGGTTCGTTCGGAGGTTATGGCCGGGAGAGATCTGCTTCGCAAGGTGCAAACACCATGGCGCATGCGCCATTCCATTCGCTCGGTTTCCGGGAAGGGGTGGCCATGGCATGCACCAACATTTGGGGTTCCCCTCCAGATCAGCCACGACAGTTGTCCCAGCCTCGAGCAGCAATGAGGCCACCCATCTCGCCAGTTCCTATACGCAGAACGATATTAGGCGGCCGTTCTGACCGCCCAACTCCGCATGGAGTGAATGATCAGCAATCGGCACAACTATCAGTGATTGGGGGGGGAGAGTGCGTCAAGGCACGTCACCTGCAATCCGCATCGCGTTGAACTGTGGAGCTGCAAAAGTGCCGAGAAACACAGAAGTCCCCCAGAGGAGAATGTTGGTTGAGGTGCAGGCGAGGGGGGGGGAAAGCAGTTCACCTGGCCTTTTCTGCGCATCGGACAGCAGGGGATATCACCAGTGGCGGGAAGAAGGCAGGAGTGACGCCACAGCCGGGTTTCCGCGGATCGTAGGGGAGGCATATCTCGAGGGTCCGGGGATGGGACACCGTGGGAAGACAGCGGGCAAGGATGACGATGATGGAACGGCTCCCTCCGCACCTGACAAGTCTCATGAAGGAGTCACTCATCGGAGCAAATTGCCTCCCGCGGGTGGCCAGAAAAGGAAGGGGTGCACCTCACCACGACCGGTGAAGAAGAACAACCTGTGGTCTTTGGAGGAGAAACTGGACCTCGCGAAGTTCGCCGGCGAGGACGACGCCCTTATGGCTGACGCCAAAGGTGCTCAAGCGTGCATGACGAGGTCGAAAAGATGGGAGTGGATTGCAGGAAGGCTTGGAGAAATCGGTTACTCCAGGACAACGGAAGACTGCAGGAAGATATGGACGCAGCCTGTGAAACCGTTTGAGCACACTGAAGCGCGTGAGCACGAGCTTAAACATGCACTCAAAGCCCCCCGGTGTGCGCTCAGAAGCGCTCAATCGCTTTTTGGGCACGCACGCACACCAAAACATGAGCGCGCGCACCTGGCGGGGGCCCGGACGTGGAGGGGAACACCTGGGGATGTTTGCACTGGAAAAAAACAAAATGGGGGGGGGGGGGGGGGAAAAAGGGGGGGAGGGGGGGGTTCAGAGGTCCTCTGGGGCTGTGGTTGTTGTGGAGGTATTCGTTGGAGGCAATGGGATAACCAGAAAGTTGTTTTTCCTTTTTTTTCATCTCCGTTTTCGAGATATTTTAACCTTCCTGCTTCCCCCCTCTCCCGATTCCTTGACCCCTTTTAAAACCCCTCTAGAGTCTAAACAGAGTAAAGCCCTCCCAACTGGAACAAAAGATGAAAGGAAGCCTCACCTGCAGAGCCTGCTGTCCATTATCTTCCGTCACATAGCTCAGCTCCGGAAGAATAACGTCCTGGACTATTTTTGAGCATGCATCTTCAAACTTTCTGAACCCATCAACCACAAGAACGCAAAAAAAAAAAAGAAAAAAAAAAGGGAACATAAGACAGACCAGGCCTGCAGCGTCAGCGTAAATGAAGTCATTTTGCACAGGGCCAAAGGGAGAAAATTTTCCCAAATGCGCCTAATCCATATAGCCATTTACAGTGATCTACCAACAAATATACCACATGCACGCTTACACGATGCTCGAAGGCCAACAATCCCTCCCCAACTCCCCCCTAAAGTTTCGAGACCAAAACAACACGGCTCAGTTGCTCAATTGAGGGGGCTTCAAATAGACCGGCTCAATTGAGGGGGCTTCAAATAGACCGGCTCAATTGAGGGGGCTTCAAATAGACCGGCTCTGAACCATAAACCTGGTTCAGATATAGACCGGCTTCAATCAAGCACTTTGGGCAAGCTTAAGGGGGCTTGGTTCACATATACACGAGCACATCTGGTCCCGCTCAAATCTGGTTCAAGTTTCAAGCATACATCAGTAGATGTGGTCCAGGTTCGGACCTGGATCCACAAAAAGCGCACATCGTGCACATCTAGACTTTGGTTTGCTAATAAATAATTAAACCACCAGTATGTTTCCCAGCCATTTTTCTCCGACACAGCCACGTGCACGTGCCACAACTTTCAGGATACGTCCTGCTGGAGCTAAATGGCTGGCAGCCCCAGCCAAAAATGAAAACAAGCCGGGGTTCATTTTATTTCTGGCGCGCAGACCATTTCCAGGCTCGGCAAAGAAAGGGTCATAAGCGCTGGCGGTTTAGAGGCGTTAGGCTTTTTTCAAGGCCACGAAAAAAGATCTATACACCACGGTATTACCACCCTTGAAGGCCAACAAGGCTTTCAGACAAAAACCAACAGCAAGATGCAAACCTGGTTCAGATGTGAACCTGGTTCAGAGAAAAACCAACAGCACTACATGGTCTTGTCCGATACCGCTTTCAACAAACAGATGTGAACCTGGTTTAGACAAAAAACAACAGCGGGAGTGCCACACTTGCATGCTACTAACGTCAAGACAATGTTTCTAACATCCCCAAGACAATGTTTCTTTCCTTAAACCACCACTACCTTTCGCAGGCAAAGTCGAGAATAAAACATGTGAGACATTCCAAAGAGTTCAGATGAACAGTGCTACCAGTTCGATTCCAACTTCCACATATTGCTATCACCACAAGCGGTATTGTTACCTAACACGGGGTTAACGGAGGGCAGAGAATTCGCCGTTTTCACCACATCACCACAAGCAACATAGTGGAGAACTCTGGAAAACCTTGAACCATAAGGGAAGGAGTCATGGGTATTCTATGGCCAAAAAAAACCTTCAATAAGTTCACCAAACTACGACCGATCCGCAACTCCAACGAAGACAAAACGCCAAAGTCGACCAACTGGGTAACATGCAACGGAACAGAAAACTGACCTTCCACTATTCACAGTGAAGCGACCTCTTTGCTTGAACAAGGTCTGAAGCTCGACTCTGGCTTGAACGAGCCCTATTTCTGCTTCAAACTCTGCGATCTCCTGTTCTGCTTTCTTTAGTGCCTGCACGCGATGACTCCCATCTTGTTATGCAGAATAACACCGAATCTGTTAATCACTATTGTGCACCACAATCCTTCCTTTGGCCTCTCATTAGAACCCTCTCCATCCCCTTCCCCCC